TAAGTGTGAGATAATTACATATTAAACAATCACGTAAAACAGAAATAACAACTTATGATTATGAGAGCACAGCAATCAATTATATAAATTATGTACATCATAAAAGAAATCGGTAAATACTTAGCGAGCATATAAAACATAATAGCAAAGGACAGACAGGGACTAAAAATAAATAAACAAAAAAAAGAAACGAAAAGAAATCATACATAAACAAAATCAAACCACAGGAATGTAAAATATATGTGTTAATTGTTTTTTAGTTATTTTTTGCCAGTTTTTTTTTTTTTTTTTTTTTTGTTTGGAATGCACTTGGCTCTAAGGCTAAAAGGCATTTACTTCAGCTCGCCGGGCGTAGCGGATAGGGCCATTTTCGAGAGCGTGGCCAAGGAACGTTTCGGGAATGTGTTGCTGCCATCCGATGGATCCGAGAACAGTTTACGAAAGCTGCAAGGCAAGTGAATCAAGTGAATCAAATGGATTCACATTCATGTCATTCAACCTATTCTATGCATACTCACAATTTGCGTATGCCCGACTCGGAGCTTTTCTTCCAGGGTGCATCGTCTGGCTCATAGGGCAAAGGTCCCTGTACGGGCGCATCGTGTCCCGGAGGCCTGACATTAACGAGAATAAACAAAACATATAAAATAGATGAGTATATACATGGATATAAATATGATGCTTAGTTAGACGCACGTCTCGCCCGCGACATTTTCATCCTCGACATCGGCCTCAACGCCATCGTCGGCCTCGTTGTCGTCGTCGTCGTCGTCGCTGTCATCGGAGCTGGATATTTGGCGAGTCCGCTTGCCGCTGTTCGCTGGCTTCAGCTCGGCCAGCTGCTCGTTGAGGTTGTCAATGGTTGTGAGTAGCTCGTCCCGTTCGCTGATCAGCTCCTTCAGYTCTCGTGTCGTATAGCGCGGCCGGTTTGGATCGTTTTGGTCGTCATCGTACGACTGCACCAAATCCTCGTTCTCCTTTTCGGCCAGACCCAGACGCTTGCGCAGCTGATTGATCTCACGGCACTGATCCTGCAGCTGGGCGAGAAAATCGGCACGCTCCTCGCACAGCGTCTTCACCTGTGCCTGCATCAGCTTGTGCCGGCGTCGCGTATCCCGCTCCGACGCCTTCAAGCGCTCCGCCTGAATGTTGACCTGTGTGTGTGTGTGTGTGTGTGTGTGGGATAGCAATTGCTTTAATGGTGAGCCAATCGGGCTAAGCCAACTACTGCTGCTACTCACATGCTCCAGCTCGCTGTACTTGTCCTGGAGTTCGCGCTCGCGCTGCTTCAGCTCGTCCCGTTGCTTGTATATCTGCTCCTTGAGCCGCTGCAGCACCTGCGTGTCGGAGAGGGCGCTGTGCAGCTCGTTGTTGGTCATGCTGATGATGCTCTCGGTGAGGCTGGCGCCCAGGCCGGAGCTTTGGGCCGATGACGATTGCAGGTCCTGCGTCTGTTTCACCAGCCGCTTGTTCTCGTCCTGCAGCGAGGAGACCAGTTCGACCAGCTCGTTCGTCTCGCTGCGCCACTGCTCCTCAATCAGTTCCAGTTCCTTTTCGAAGCGCCGCCGAAACTCGGCCTTCTCCAGTTTCTCGCTCTCCAGCTGGGCTATTTTCTCGCGCAGCTCCTGTATGGTGGTGTTCTCGCGCTCGTTTTTCGTCGCCAATGCCTCCAGGAGCTCCAGCGTGTTAATTATCTTGGGCATCAGACCACTTACCGCATCGGTGCCATAGCGATCCATGATGCGCTCATACTCCTTGCCAATATCCGATGCCAGATCGTAGACATCGACCACGCCAATGTCATCGATGGCGTCCAAGACCATTTCCCCCATTTCATTGAGATGGAAGCCGGGCATCGAGCGTCGTTCAACTGTGTGGGAATTCAGCTACGCACAGCAGCTGGCGCTTTGCTATCTATCTATCGATGGGGGAGCTGGGGCTTCACTTCAGCTCTATGTAAACACTCACGCACTCACAAACACAATGGCACGCACACACTCGCACGCAATTGGCTTGACTTGACTTGGTTTGGCTTGGCTTGGCTTGGCTTGGTGTGTATCGAATTCGCATTCACTTTATCGCTTTGCTCGGTCGCCCACAACAAACAAATTGCACATATGTTACAACAAAATATGCGCATATGCAACGAGCTCGAACTTGGACCTGCAACTGGACCTGGTTTTCACGAGTCTTTCGATGACTGCATACTCGCTGGATGAGTAATAAATAAAAACTTGCAAATTCTGCCCCCACACACTCCCCTGCCGAGTGGAGCGTTCGCAGCTGGCCGCCGAGAGCTATCTATGCAAAGCGAGCGTTGTTCGCTCTCGCTCTACACATGCGCGCAGCGTTGCTTCTGCTCCGGCATAGAGATGAGCGTTGCGCTCCACTGACTTGGCCAATTATTTCAATTGATCAATTTGATTTCATCTGAATGATCTCTTGCAAATGCGGGCATTTTCTTGGAATGAATTGTAAGCAAAACAATTTACGCACATTTGCACGCCTAGAGATGCGCAGGTAACAACTGCTCAACCGATACTCGTCACGAGTCACGAGTGCAATAGCAGTAGGGTAACAGCTGACAGCTGTGCTCAAATATTCAAATCAAGAGCATTCAAGTGATTTTTGAAATGCAGCCAATATTCCCATTTGGATACACATTAAATAAAATGAATGAATATCTAAATAATTAATTAAAATTCGACATATTTTACATGTACATATCATGTTTCAGCACTTTGCATTTATTGTCTCAATATCTATCGCTCATCTCTATGTTCACTTTGCGCGCTTGCTGTGGTCTGGCAACGCTATACCTCGAGCTGCCACCCTCCGCCAGACTTTTACCGCCCAAATTGAAATTTGAAACGACCGCCCAAGCATTGTTTTACAACTTATTTGTTTATTTAAGAAACTTTAACATTTAACTAGGCCACCAAATAAATTCACTGGTTTTTTTTATTCATTTGTTTTCTTTACAAAAATTGTATAAACTTTTTTTTTGTAAATTGTGATTACATTTAGGCAATATTTTTACACATATTTCATACAATATGTAATTGTTTTTTTTTTTCTTTCTTTTTTATTATTATTAATATTTTGTTTGTGTATGCTAGGCTAATGAATACAGTTATGCAGCGGCGACTAGCAAGTTGCTATCCAAAAACTAACTAAATATAATTTAGTTTTTTTTCTCTTTTTTTAGAGATTTGTTTTTGGTGCCTCGGCTTTGTTAAGTACATTAAAATTAGCTACATTTCTTTGGATGGTTTTTGGGTTTGGGGTCTCTGCATTTAAATATTACAAAGAAAAAAACATATTTTAAAAAAAAAAAATTTTCCACAAGTTGCGCTATATGCATAACAATTATAGTTTTTTTTCTTTTTCATCAAACAGTTTCTTATTATAATTATTATTATAATTTTTTTTTTTTTTTTGGTTTTGATTTTTTTCTTTTTTTTTTTTTAAGGACTAGATTAGGAACCACATTTGTACAGTTTTCATAATTTGTTTGTTTTTTTTTTTTTTTTTCATTACAAAATTGTTATGTAATTTTAAGGTAAAATTTACAGTGACAAATGAAAATTGATTTCTTTTAAAATTGTTGTTTTGTTTTTCTCTTTTACTTTTTTGGGCCTTTCGTTGCATTTTCTTTTGGTTTGCAGCTACAAAAAATAACTTAAATATTAAATCTCAGCTAAATAGATTTGCTTTTCATAAATGTACATATATATATGTATGTATATATATTTAGCTTTATATATATATTAAGTGTTGTTTATATATGTATGTTACAAGATGACGAAAAAAAGTTGATTAACAAATCATATAAATAATAAATAATAGTAGGCGGGGTCGGCTTGGTTTAAGCAATAAGTTAATGCTTAAAATTAGATTTTGGCAAGCATTGCGTTAAATGGCAAATAAAATTTGGTTTGCGGATAACTAGCAGATGAAACTATGATTAATAATAATAATAATAATAGTAATATTATAAAAAAAAAAGTAGTTAACGGTCATGCACTCAGTCGTTCGCACGATTCCATTTTCTCTTGTTTTGGCACACAAAACTAGGCATAAATAAATAGTTGTACAATAATAATGATAATGATAGTAATGATAATGACAATTATTATAAGGATAAACTGTATATTAGTTGGTAATTTTGGCTGTTAACATAGAAATGGCAAATGAATTAGAGACAAATCGGGGCGAGGGACGACCTAAACTAGACAAATTAAGAACAAGTATCTAGACTAGCTAATAGCTCTCACGCGGGCGGCGACTGTTGCTGCTTTTTCTGCTGTTGCTGCTGTTGCTGGTGTTGCTGTTGTTGTTTTTGCTGTTGCGCCAGTTGCAGCAGCAACGCTGAGGCAGCTGCTGGCGGCAGCACTGCAATGTGACGTTTGATCCGCTTCGCTGGCGGCTGCGACGACGACGACGACGACGACGGCTGGGGCAGCGGCAGCGGCAGCGGCGACGATGCAGGCGACACGCCGCCTACAATGCCGACGTCCTTGACCAAGGCATCCTGTGAGTCATACTCCTCCTCCACATCGTGCAGCGTTAGGTCTGTAATGTTGACCCTCTCCTGCTGCAATTCCACACGCAATTCCACCACATCATTATCATCATCATCATCATCATCGTCCACTTCCTCCTCATCTTCAATGTCCACAATGGAGATGACGTCGCTGCCGTTGCTGTGACTGCATCTGCTTCTGCTGCGATTGTTGAGTGTTGCGGCCACATCAGCCGATTCATCATCCAGATCGCTGTGCATCAGCCCAATGTCATGCGAATCGTCACCATCATCCGCAGCAGCGGCAGCAGCGGCGGCAGCGGCAGCGGCATTGCCAACATCATTATTGTCGTCGTCGTCGTCGTCGCCACCATCATCATCATCATCATCATCATCATCATCATCATCACTGCCGCCGCCGCCGTCCGCTTCGGACTAGCTGCTGCTCGACTGCGTTTGCAGCCCACTCGCTGCGGCAGCGCTGCCCGCGGCGACACCGGCCCCAATCACACCGTTGCCCGGAAAGTGGCACAGGCACGCCGGATTCGGATAGTGGCCGGTCTGCGAGTCCAGTTTCTTGGTCAGCGTCTGCCAGTACTCGATCTGTGCATTCAGCAGCTCAATCTTGCGCTTGCGCTCCTCCACCGCCAGCGACATCATGTACTCGTTGTGCTGGCCGCGCGAGCTGCTGCTGCTGCTGTTGTTCAGGCTGTTGTTCAGGTTGTTGTTCAGGTTGTTGTTGTTGCTGCTGCCGATGCTGTTGTTGTTGTTGTGATTGTGACTGTTGCCGCTGCTGCCGACACTGGTGTTCAGGTTGTTGTTGTTGTTGTTGCTGCTGCTGTTGCCGCTGTTCGCGGCAGCACAATTGATCGCATTGATGCTGGTCACGCCCAGTCCATTGTAGCCATTGAAGCTGCCAGCGGCAACGCTCAGGCCGCTGCCCGGCTGCTGCGCATGCACCTTGTCCCTGCTGCCCTGATGGCCATTCAGCAGCAGCTGAACACCGCCGGCAACATTGCTGCTGCCGTTGCTGCCGCCAACAACACCCACAGAGGCTGCCGCAGCAGCAGCGGCCGCCGCGGCGGCGGCAGCAGCAACTGTTGTTGCCTCCGACCCACCGCGCACCACATTGCTCGCCGTATGACCGCGGGCCAGGCGCGGCAGCTGCAACGTTTGTGTTGTGTGACGCGTGCTGCTGCCGCTGCCGCCGCCGCTGCCGACGCCGCTGGTGCTAGCATTGATGGCGGCCTGCAGTGAATGCGCCGGCGGATGCTGTACGGCGGACAGGCCGAGGCCGTTCAGCAGCAAATGCTGTTGAATCTGTTCCGCTGTCAATTCCAAGCCATTGCTGCTGTTATTGTTGTTGTTGTTGCTTGTGCTATCATTGTTGTTGTTGTTGCAGCTAATGCTGTTGTTGTTGTTGTTGTTGTTACTGCTGCTGTTGCTGTTGCTGGAGCCATTCTGCAGCGCCTTGCTGATGCTAGCAAAGGCGCCCACACGTATATTGCCCACCGCGGAGAGCGTGATTTCCGCCTTGGGCAGGCCGGGCGACATATAGCTGCCGGTGGATGAGACGGAGGTCTTCGTGGAGCACACAGGTGAGCTGGACGCGCGCGGCAATGGATCGCTGCTGTTGTTGTTGTTGTTGTTATTGTTGTTGCTGCTGCTGCCATTGGCCAGGTGATTGCCATTGATGCGGGGAAAGCAGCCCTGATTTAGCTGACGCAGATCCGCGGCGAACAGCTCGTCGTCGTCCTCCTCGAGACACACCTCCGGCACCTTGGTGCTGGGGCAATCATCATCGTCATCATCATCCATGCAGTCCATTCCATTCTCGGTCTGTTCATTGTCGCTAAGTCTCTCCGATTTGATCAGAATGACATCCGTATCCATGCCCTCATACATGGGCATCTATTGGCGGAAGGGAATAAGAAAATGACAAAATTAAAGTGTTGGAAAACGCATGCATAACTGTAACTTATTATTATTATGCATACATAACTGTAACTTATTATCAGATAAGGGAAACCGAAATTCGAATTCGATATTTGCTGATGCAATCGATGATAACTGTCTGTCAGTGTTGGGTAACGAAATTGAATTAATAAATTCTTTCCCAATTTTTCGCTAAATCAAAAATCACGATAAGTAAAAAAATTCTATTCCCATGAAAAAATTTGTTCTCGATAATTATCGATAATTTCAATTTCTGCGTAAATTGAAAAAAAAAATCAGATCCCTTTGCCATTCCGAATTATCAGCGTTTGACTATATCTCTAAATTATTAATTAAAAGCAGCCAAGCTGAGTTTTGAGTTTTTAAACAACTTCAGTTTTTTCAGTGTTGGAAAACGCAAATACGCTTCATCTATTCTAGTGCACTAAACGTTGTTAAGTAGCCAAAACTGAAGCCAGTAAATTAAGTTTTAACTTAATAGTGTTGGTAAACGGTGTTGGAAAATGCAAAAATAGGCGTTTGGCATCTGAATCTAGTTAAGCACTAAACGTGGCTTAGTAGTCACCCTACCCTATTATATATGTATATAGTATATACCTTAGAATCCTCATAGTCATCGGTTAAGTGACGGCCATTTCCGGCCGTTTGGCTGCCAGCGCCGTCCGTCTGCTCGGATATATATTGGGCGACCGAGTCCTGCTGGGAGAGCGTGTTGAGCAGATCCATGAACGAGCGATTGCCCTTGTCCTCGCCGCACAGATCCTTCTTGAGCAGCAGCTTCATGTTCTTGTAGAGCTGTCGCAGCTGCTTGGCGCTGCGCTGATGATAGACCTTCGAGTTGAACTCCTTGGCTATCTGCAGCCAGACCTCGTCCTTCTTCCGGTTGGACTCGGCGTCAGTGCGTTTATTCTCAATAACATCCTTGTACTGGGCCGCATAGCCTAGCACCATGTTACGCTCCCGCTGCGTATACCGGGGAGTCTTTTCCATTTTCAACCGTTTGCTAGACGTCTTGAAGCTGAGAGCGAAAGTGGAAAAAATTGAATTAGGAATGAATTAAGGAATAGTTTAAAATCAATAATACATATATCTAATGGACATTCCGAAGGGAGGCTCAGTTGAAAAATTAAGAAAAAACTTGGACAAGTAGAAAGACAGAGTAATATTGAGAGATAAAGTAGATCATTATAGAGACATAGAGAGAGAAAGGAGAAAAGAGCTAAAGAGAGGGAGAGGGGGAGAGGAAGTGTGGAGAACTTATTAAAGAGTACATAACAGCAAACAAAGAAAGGAGTAGAGTGACAGACACTCGATCACATTAGAGATCCTCTCTTTAGAGTTCCTCATATGCAGATATATGTATTTACCACTCTGTCCCAAAATGATCTCTCTAAGGTTCAACTAGTTAAGCTCATTATCTGAGCTAAAAATTCAATAAAGCTTAGTTAATTTATGAGATATATTTTCCTAATATCCGAACTAAGACACTTCCTCACACTAGACCTGGGTCTTCTATCCGTCCTAGGAGCAGCTCTGCGCGTCACGCAACCCAATCAATTCACCTAACTATTAGATGCGCCATTCTTTAATTGATAAACGAAAAGAAACATAAGGGGAAAAACAATTAAAGAGAAAGAGAGAGAGAGAGCAGAAAAAAAGTGAAAASTAAACGCTTAACTCTTTTGCACACATCCAACTCTGAGCATATGTACAATACGATTATTGATAACACGATATGATATATGTATATACATATACATATGTATGTATGAATGTATGTAGGCACACATATGGCCTGGCCCAGACTGCGTGTGTGTGTGAGCGTGTGTGATAAGCTGGCGACGCAGCTAACGACTAGGCCAGGCAGCTAGAACCGAGCTACGTCTGTGATAAACCCCAACAATGCACCCCGTACAAGCCAAAAAAAAAAAAAAAAAAACCGTTTACTAAAAACTTCCACGAAATCCTCAGTGATTGTGGTTTCGTTTTCGTTCTTTAATGGTTTGTTTAGGGACTGAGTAAGTTGTTCCTATGATTGACTTTATTTCATTACGTTTCTATATTTCCCTTTTATTATTGATAAGCGCAGAAGCTTTTGTTTTTGTTTTTTCTTTTTTTATCGATTTGTAATGTTTTTATAAGTGCAGGGGTTAAAATTCACGAAGACTTCAAGCTCAACTTGAAAGCTTTAAGCTGCGCAAGCTGAGCTTTGAAAGCTTTGCTGTACGAATTACAATTGTATCTATAATATGTCTGTGTGCGTGTGTAAAGCAGAATGCAGGCCCAGACTAAAACAATAATGTAAGGCAACTTTATATCTAATCTCAAATTGGAGATTAGGGCGCCAACTCACACACATGCACATACATAATCATTGAGTATGAGATAGAGAGAGAGAAAGAGAGAGAGCGCATATTCAATATACTCACGTTTAAGGCCGCGCCAAAGCCGGCAAAAACACAGGCACACACACACACAGACACAGATACACCCACACACACAGTCAAAGAATGAACCGAGCGAGGAGTAGGCACAACGAGCACAACAGAACCGAAAAAAAAACGATTGGGTGGATTGGTTCAACTGGGATGGTTTCAATAATTCTGCTTTCTGCTTGTTTCTTTGGTATTTTTTGTTTTTTTTGGTTTGTTTTTGTTTTTGGGTGCAACAACGGGACGATGACGCTGACGGCGCGGCTACGACGACAACGACAACGCGACAACTTCGCGAGCAGCACCAACGAAGCACAAAGCTTGACTGAATTCGAGCAAATAATAGCTGGCGCTCAGAAGTACCGTTGGGCAACAACAACAACAACCAGCAGAAGAAGAAGAAGAACATCAAGCAACAGCAACAAGGGCGACGTCAACCGACGGGCAAACAAAAATAGGAATACCGCGCCAGGCCAAACGAGCAACAACAATTCAACAACTGCGTCGCAGCGCCCCCTGACGGCCCCGCATAAAACGTACATATGAAAATACACACACACACACACACACACACACACGTTCACACAGCTGCGGCTGAGGCTGAATGAGTCCGTCTGTTTGCCCTCGCAGCTTTGTATGTGTGTGTGTGTGTGTGTATGAGACGTAATTAAAGCTTGAAACCGAGTTTACAACAACAACCCCGCAGCGCCATCGACGACGACGGCGACGCGCGCATGAGTGAGTGGGAGAGCACACAACTGTAGGCTGTGTGTGAGTGAGAGAAATACAGCAGGAGAGAGATAGAAGAGAGAGCGCGGCGTAATATAACAGTTAAAGAGGCCGCGCTTGCCAGCGCACAGGAGACTCAAACTGAGACACTCAGGCACACACACACACACACAGACACAAACACATATAAACAGTTGCTGAGAGCGAGTCAAAGCCGCGTGTGGGGCAAACAATGAGCTCAGTTTATAAATAAATGCATGCACCCATACACACACACACACACACACACACACACACACACGCGTCTAGAACTGTAAGCGAGTGCAACTCCAACGTCAAGTTGGTGTTATGACATCCGCCCACACACGCGCCCCACGACTGAGCGAACGCCTAGAACAGTGGCGAAACGATTTTTTTTTTCTGTTTAAGCGCAGCAGCAACAAAGTAAGGGTTGACGGCGACTGCGACGCCGACAGCGAGCTCTGGCAGACCGAAGACCGAACGAAGCTCGAAACGAAGAGTGAAACTGAAGACTGACGTGGGTCGCTCTCGCTGCAGCAAAAAATAGCCCGAATAACAACAACAGAAGCGCGGATGTAAACAGAGATGAAGCAAATGGGCATGAACTAAAATACAAAATACCCTGCACTCATGATGTTTGAATGGATGTACATGCATACATACATATGATTGAATTATATATATATATACATAGTTAAATATTTGTATCATTTAGATAGAGCACAATCTATCCTATGCCACTCTAATACTATAATAGTATGGCCTGATTTACACATTTACTGCATATAGGGTATGCACCCATGCACATACATATAAACATATGTACGTAAGTATGTACATATGTATATGCTTATTTGCCACATATTTCATGAGAATAATTGCAGAGTACATGAGAGCCCAGACAAAAACGTAAGCCTTACTTAGCCCCTGATTATGGTAGTATATGGTCTGGCAGCTCAGCTATAGGATTTACATGAAAACTTTATGCTATCCAATCCTAACTTTAACAATAAGGGAAGCTTAGTTGATCTTGACTTAAGAGTTGATCTTGACTCTTAAGAGGAAAATTTTAGCTTTGATAGAGACGAAGGGAAGAAGAGCTTTCATAAACAATTCCAAGATCAAGTGATCCTTGACTATTGGAGCATAGAGAAGAAGTTTACGTATAGAGAGATATGTACATAAGGAATATGGATTATACTTAGTATATATAGAACAACATATCAAATGTTTACAAACTTTAGTACATACTTAGTTATGTTTGGAAAAAAGATCTTCAGTTTTGTTCATGTATATAGCATACATATTATATTATAGTATATACTATGCATAAGTATATATAGCATATAATATTATATATGTATGTAGAAATACCAGCTGTAAGACTACGTTATTCATAGAGTAACTCTCTGATAGGCATTTGTTTAGCTCACATTTGTGCAAGCCTCCGATCAGGTTGTGCTCAGCTGACATTTGAGCAATCCTCAGATCATATATACATATGTTTATAAAGACTTGAGTTTCAATTCCAGGCCTCAATTAGGTTTCATTACGTTAACAGGACATGGAAGCAACGCACTTTCTCCATGTCCAGCATTGAAAGCTTACGTAAAGCAGCTTAAATCATTGATATATTTATATTTTTTTTTTTTTTGAATGCCTACCCCTATCACGATGAAAGGAGAACTAATGAAAATTATCGTGAAATGTATTGAAGCGAGTGTGAGTGTGTATGTGTGTGTGCTCGCGTGCATTACAAAGCGTCAGCGTTGGTATGGCGACGATGTCGACTCAAGTCTTAAGATAAGATTAAAATGAAACCCAACTGAATCGCAGTCAATGATTCTATCTCTCTCCCTCTCTCTCTCTCCCTGTGTGTGTGTGTGTGTGTTGGTGCTCGTTATCTATGAAATCCATTGACAATGGGCCAGGCAATGGCTTTCTGCTGAGCAATGCAAACAGCAGCAAAAAAAAATAAAAAATTTCTTACTTCAAGCACTACACGATACTCAAGTCGACGTACTTATGTAAAAAGCTGCAAGCAGCGGCTCACAAAAGATACAAAATGCATCTCTGTGTGTGTGTGTGTGTGCATATCTATATATGTAAGTGTGCATATGGATATATAGACATATATAGAGTAAGCGCTGCTTCGCCTCGCTCGTACTAAAGGCACAAGTTTCAAAGCGACACCTGGCTGAATTTATCTTCACTTACGCACACACACACACATGCACACTTACACGCATACAGTTAATCATTGCTCTACAGCGAACCCCGCTTTCCCGCAACTCTCCCCACCGTCCATCCGTCCTCCCGCCCCCTCGGCACCCAAAACGCCACGACCCTCGCCCTACCCCCTTCACCAGCCCATTGAACGCCTCAACTGCACAACAGGTGGAATTATTTACTGATAAGCCGCTGATAAAAGCGAGCCCAAGTGCTGGGGCGGGTTTTGGGGCATATTATTATTATTTTTGTTTTTTTGTTGCTGCTGTTGCTGCTTTTACTGTTGCTCTGACTGTTGCCCAAACACTCGCTTGATTCTATTTGTAGAGCTCTGATATTGGTAATGGCCGCGTGATATCATATATGAGCACGATACTGTCTTTGACTGTATATAGATATATATATATATGTACATATATATGGACACTATAT